TGACTGCACCGAAGTTTTTACTGTGTCTCTAGAAGTGCTCAGGGAATTAGGCAACGCTATAGAGAACATCTGCGGGCGATATTATCTCGACGAGACCAATCCCGCTCCCGACGGCATTCTATCGCGCCGGCTAACCAACTTCTCTGTTTCACTGATCCGCTTACAGTCTAATAATCGCCCAACGTCTGGTTAAACGCAACGTTAGCCGTGTAATTCACTGAAATTTCCTGAGAATTCAACAATTTGCCTGACATTATCGGAGGGGTTCCCGCGGATTTGAGTAGTATAATCAGGGTTTCGTACTCCTTAATTCCTTAATTCCCTTAATTCTTCCGAACCGCTGTTGGCGATTTGCCGCTCGATCGCTGGCGTCGCCGAGCGGCGAGCGTATTCCCGCCTTGGTCCAGTGCCACGTGGCGATTTGCTTTGGCAATCTCGCCATCGCCTGCGACGTAACAACCTGCCGTCCCCTCGGTGTAATTAGGCTTGGTGGCGTAAAGGTGGCTCTACGTCGCTCAACATCCCTTCCACCGTACTCGTGGGAACAATATGATTTTGTTTAAAAATTCTAAAGACGTGGTGAAGAAGAGTTCCCGCCTGGCCTCACGCTTCCGGCCGGGACGGGACGTAACCATGGAAGCACGGGACGTGTCTGGCGTCGGGTCGCGGGTCCGCTCGGTCGCGCGCTCGGTGACGGCGTCCTCTTCCTTGGGAGCGCCTCGCCAAGCTGTGTCCGGGTGCGTGCGCGGTCCAGTACGCGACGAGGCACAGTCCACAGGTTGCGACCTTCGTGTCGTCCGTATAATGTTGGATAGGTGTGACGGAGTTCTCGCGAGGGGGTCCCTGCCTGTGGTCTTCAACCAGGAGGGACAAGGGGCGATTAGAAATAAGAGAGATAGCTCCGCGTGTAGGAATAATAGAAACGCGATCGGATCCGCGAACGACCTAGATTCCGCATTGAACTCGACGGAAAAGTCTATAAATACCCCCCAGCTCCAGTCCCAGTTTGTATCGAGGTTAGGTTCTCGGTCGCCGGTGAGGCGGACGGCCGACGCTTCGAAATCTTCGATAGTGTCCACGGGAGTTAGGATACTGCAGTTGAACATGCGGCGTTCGACTGTGGTTATGGGAGAGGTGCGTCAGCTCGTCGCGGAAAAGCGACTTGACGTCCTGTTATTGCAGGAATCCCACGTCAGGAAGCAGGGCGCGGGCCACACCTTCGTAGGGCTAGGTGTCGGGATGGGGGTGGCTGCCGTACGCTCGCAACGTCCGTGGGCTGCGGTGGCGGTCTGTAACCCTCAATTCCAATTATTGTTTGTCTCGCAGCTTAGCACGACGCACTGTGTGTGTGCGGAAGTGCAGGGGTGGGATCTCGCTATACGTCGTGTCGTGCTACTTCCAGTACAGCGACGATATCGAGACTCACCTCAGGCACCTCGAGATGGTATTTCATTCGCTGAGGGGGGAGAGACTGTTAGTTGCCGTAGATGCCAATGTCGTCACTCTGGGGTCCCCAGCAGACCGACGACAGAGGTGCCAAATTTGAGGATCTCATTCGGGCATCTGGCATGAGCGTTGTGAATGACGCTGGGCAGGGTCCCACCTTCTGCACGGCAAGGGGCGCATCATACATCGGTGTGACCCTGGCGTCGCCCTCCATGAGCCAATTCATCGGCGAATGGAAAATAAGGCGGGAGTGGACGACCAGCGATCACAGCGCCGTGGACATAAGGCTGAGAGTGCCAAAGGGGTCGGGCGAAGACCGGGGGATCGCGAGCGCGAGGTTCGACACTCGTCATGCTGATTGGGAGCGATTCTCCGAGAGCCTGACCGATCTTTCACGATCAAAACTGGAGGCCCTCGAATTGTGTTCCGCGGATCGTATCGAGGTAATGGCGGAGAGGATGGCGACGGTTCTCACCGAAGCCTGCTCCGCATCGATGCCGAGAAAAAGACAATTTAGAAAATCCAACCCGTGGTGGACGAGAGAGCTGACGGTGCTCAAAAAGAGCGTGTATAGGAAGAGGCGTGCCTTTCAGATGGAGCGGGACGAGCCCACTCGCCTCGTTCTAAGGCTGGAATACCGCTCATCTTTGCGGGAATACAGCCGAGAGGTGAAGGGGGCGAAGCTCGCAAGCTGACGGGAGTTCGTCACATCGAACGGGAATTCGGAGCCTTGGGGCTTCGTTTATAGGCACCAAGCGAGCAAACTCCGGGTGGAGAGTGTGTTGAGCGCACTCCGGTGTGGCGATGGCTCCACGAAGACCCTGGAGGAAACCGCCGGCTGCCTCCTGGACGTGCACGTCCCAGAAGACCGGGAAAGCGATGACACGCCAGAACAGCGTGGAATTAGATCTTCATCTAGGGTGTCTCCCGCTACAGCCGATACACCTTTCTTCATGGTGGCGGAAATGGCTGCGGCGGTGAGAACATTTAAAAATAATAAGGCCCCGGGGCCAGATCGGATAGAGGTCGCTGTGTTGAGGGCGGCCTGCAGGGTGATCCCCGGTCAGTTCCTTAGGTTGTATAATGGGTGCCTTCAATGGGGCGTCTTCCCCTCGGTCTGGAAGGCGGGCTCGCTTCGGGTCCTTCTGAAGGAGGAGGGGAGGGACGAGAGGGACCCAAAGTCCTACAGACCCATCTGTCACCTCTCCGTCGTAGGGAAATTGTTTGAGAAACTTCTCAAGTCTCGCCTCATGGGCACGTCATTGGCGCCGGGTGGGGTCTCCGATCGGCAGTTCGGGTTTATGCCCGGAAGGTCGGCGGAGGGCGCTGTTGTCGAGTTGCGGCGTATGACCGCTGCCTCCGCGGGGAGGTACGCCGTCGCCCTTCTCTTCGACATCTCCGGGGCCTTTGACAATGTCTGGTGGCCCCTCGTGTTAGATAGTTTAAAGAAGCGCGACTGCCCGCGAAACGTTTACAACGTCCTCCAAAGCTATTTCGAGAATCGTGTAGTCGGGATTCGGCTCGGCTCGGTGGAGGTGTCTAGGCGGGCGGCGAGGGGATGCCCGCAGGGACCCGTGCTTGGTCCGATCTGCTGGAACCTCATGTTCGACGGTCTTTTGCGGTTGTTGGAGGACGCGGGATTTAAATTCGTTGCGTACGCTGACGATCTCGCAGTGGGTGTTAGCGGAAACTCGCGCCGGGAAATTGAAATAGAGAGCCAACGTGCGGTAGACCGGATTGAGGACTGGTGTATAGGGTCGCGAAGCTTCAGCTCTCCGATCGTAAGTGTGACGTCCTGAGAGGTCCTGATAGATCGGACGGGGCCGAAATCAACAGATCCTCGACAGCTACACTCACACGTTATTTGTGAGATTCTTTTCCATGCTGTTAAGAGGGTAAAACCTCAGGATTAGATACTGCGAAGGAAGTAGGTAACAGGAATGTCGAAATGACTTTTATTTTCAGGAAAGAGTTTTCGATTTTGGGAATAAGGAATAATATAATATCACACTTGTGGTATTTGAATTGGAATTTATTTACTTTTATATATGATAGGTATATATATATATATATATATATTTAGCGAATGCGAGTGGAAGTACAAGTGCAAAAATGTACGTGCGCGTACAAGTGCGAATGCGAATAAAATGTAAGTGTCCGTGGATGTGAATCGCAAGTGGGTACGAATGAATGAATGCGTGAATGCCTGCGCGAATAAGCCCCAAGGTATCGTCGCTTGAGGTTTTTATATGTTGCCAAAACATGGAAGTAGGGGTGACCTAAATTCCAATGTTATGATTCTACAGGTCTGAATAAAGCCTTTCATTATGAGTCAGCTATGATTCATGCATTTAAGACCTTCTAGTTGTCCTTGACATAGTTTTCTATTGGTCGACTTAGTCTACATTTGCTATGAGTCAGCGATGACTCGTGGTATTAAAATATTATGGCGCCCTTGACATTTAACATTGGCTTATTTTCGCTTACAAACTGATCATGAGTCACACCTGTGACTAAATATTATGGCGGCCTTAACATTTAACGTTGACTTATTTTTGCTTACAACCTGACCATGAGTCACACTTGTGACTAAATATTATGGCGGCCTTGACATTTAACGTTGGCTTATTTTCGCTTACAAACTGATCATGAGTCATACTTATGACTATTCGGTCGACCTATTTTGTTTTCAAAGAGTTATACTTCGTTATAATAATTCCTTTC